AAAGTCACCCAGTGAGTTTCATGGCTGAGCAGGGATTAGAACCCAGATCAATACTGAACGCTCCAATAAGCATAATTCCATATATTGCACAAGTATGGCAAAGCGAAAAAGAATCCTATGCTGTAGTTTATTATTTTTGGGGAGCCTGGAAATTTCTTGAGAAGATGCAATCCCAGGGCTGGCCTTTTGCCAATGCCCCAAAGCTGCCACTATCTTGCCCCCAGGGTACAGACCTTCCTGAATCTCCCTTGCCCGGTGGGTGACGCTTCCTCTGCAAGATTAAGCATTTTTAGGCAATGAGTGAAGCAAACCTCTAATGATTAACATTCTGAGCCCGTGGATGTCTGAAACTTGGGAGGGGGGGCAGGCAGTTTTCTGGGTTAAAATGTTAGAATCTGGCCTGCTGCTTCTGCTTCTAATTTCTGACCGTGGTCTCTTGATCGTGTTTTCCTGGCCAGCAGTGATTGCCTGGAAAGAGCTCCGACTTCATCTTTGCGCTCTGGAATTCGTGTCCTGGACAATCCGTTCATTTTCCCTCCAGATCTTACTCATGCTTGCCACCCAAGCGTGATGCCTGCACGGATTTCGTCCAGCCAGTGAGCTGCATTTGGTGATGTAAGCTGATATTTTAATTCTCTTACAAGGAATGGTGTTTAGAGGAATGACTTAAATGGATTACTCATCTTCTGTAATAACTTGGCAGCGCTTCTGTTTCTATTCCTAGACATGACGCCGGAGGCTTTGATTCTTCTCCCGCTTCCCCCTCCCGCCTTGGTGTTTTGTTGCGCTTTTTTTAATGCAAGCAGTTTACGCTCGTGTGTTTTTCACACTGGTGCCTGCCTCTTGCCAGGGCGTTGCATTCTGGGAACTGTAGTACGCTGAGGCTCGAGGCAGAGGTGCCAAGGCAGAAGAGCCGAAGGGTACCCCCTGTGGGGCTTGAAAGTTATGGGGCCAGATGTGGCCAAAGGACACAGGGGCCTCCGATCAAAGGAGGCCATTGTTTCTAAGAAGCAAACTTCCCATTTCTTCGCTGAACGCTGACCGAACAGTTGGCGGTTATTCTGGCAAAGGGTGATTCATCAGCATTAGTGGAAAGGAAGTGCCAAATACGGAGAATGGTGCTCCATGGCAGCACACATAACGCATGAAGGTGCGACTTTGCTGTGAAACTGGGCTGACGCGGCCTCGGGCTTACAGGAGCCGCTCTGGTGCGCGCTGCTAGAACCCTGGGAACGCAGAACTGGGTACTTCGCTTTCAGCATCCCAAGTGGAGGAATTTCTTTTCAGGATTTGAACAGAGTGGGACTCACCAAAAACACTCTGCCTAACCAAGCCCACCACCAGGCCAAAAACACCCCCACTCTGTTATCCTGCAGCTCCTTTATTTCTGATGGATAATCCAGGCGAATGTGTGAGAGCGGAGAGAGGGAGAGAGATTCTTGTTGCTGTTGCTAAACAATTGGAAAGGTTGGTCTGAGTGGACTGGCAGAGGGTCTCCTGGTCTTTTCCACCCTGACCACCAAACGCCAGGAATGGAACACCCAGAATGCCAGCTGCAGCCCCAAGTCTCCGAGAAGCCCCCAGCCCCACCACCCGGCTGCCCGTGGGCACCTGCGCCAGCCTGCTGCCCTAGAACTTTTGTGCATGGGATTTCCCCCCCGAAAGCCAGGGCCCTCCTCTGCCCATCCATACCTGCCTTTTCACCAGTTGGGATGAGCTTAGGGTCCTTGGTATACTCCCCACTCTCAATCTCCTAAAATTAGCATATGCAAATCTGTGCGTTCTCTGTCTTGCTGATCTGAGTCCTGGATCTGTTTGTACCCAGTGCCACCGCTGCATTTCGTGTCCTGGCGAAGAGGAGGAGGCAGGGCCTGGGGCTGCGCGGTGCCTGCTCCATGTGTGCAGCCAGGTCCCTGAATGGGGCATCCCGCACGGCCAAGCTGGCTGGGGCAGCTGGGAGTCGCAGGCCCCTTTTCTCTCCCACCCGGTGCAGCATCGTGTCCGCAGTCTCTCTTCTTTGCAACCCACCAGCAGGTCGGCTAGCATGCAGATCCGACCTGATCCACTTCTCTACATACGTAAGTCCGTGCCCGCTCCATTTCACTCTGTATCAAGGCTGCTGGTTTTGCTGCTAATGCAAACAATTAACCATCCGATGAACGTATGTCCAGCACATGTTTCCCATGACGGGGCCACATGCCCCTCATTCCTGACTGGCAGCCTACCCTGCAGGGCTGTTGCAGGGATTGCCAAGCTGCTATTGCGGGAGCTGCTTGCAATGATCATGAGAGCATCGACACATTTCCCTTTCTTATGGCTGATCTCCAGTGGCTTGTTCACAAGCACAATTCAGGAGGGATGAACCTGCATGTCTGCACACAGCCTAATTGTTTTGGAAGGAGGATGGCGCAGGAGTTCAGCAAATTGTCCACGTATTTCAGAGTGTCTCCATAGTCATACCGTTGCTGTTCCGCAGAAGAGCCAGGGAATATCACATGTGTGCTGTGTGTGTTTTGCTGAGGAGGGCAGAGGAAAAAGACGCAACTTAAAAATTGGGATCACAACTGCCCACTGCATTTCCAAAGGTACCTCTGCTGGCAAATGCCCAGGGCCTTGTCCACACACAGTGGCAGGCGGGGCATTCATGATTGTGGGGCAAAGCCCCTCCATCACAACACACGGAAACCGGGTTCAGACAACACGGTTCCCAACACCCAAGCACTGATTGTGGGTTGTTGCTGAACTGTAGGTTATTGCCTTGTCTGAACCCCGGTGTGGTAATCAGCCATGAAGAACAACCCACCATTCACAACCCAGCAACAAATCATGGGGTTCGAGTGCCTGTCGGTGCCCTGCTGCGCCTCCCCTTTTGGCGGTTTCAGTGCAGGATCTTTTCCCTCCCCAGTTAGCTCTTGAACCCTTGCCTGAAGCAGGCTGCGTGTGTGTCCGCTGCAGGCACCCTGGCCTGGGAGCCAGGGGACCTTCTGTAGCAGGCCTCCTTCTTCCTATTATTGCTCGGTGCGTGAACCGTAACAAGAATACGGTACTTTGTGAGAACATCTTTAGATGCGTTTCCATTATTTTTATTGTGAATTTCCTTGAAAAACAAAAGCACCCCCTGTAAAAAGGAATAAAATAAAAGATTCGATGTGGAGCAAGATGTCCATAAGCAGAATCATGCAGACGCAGGACACGTTTCCCTATGATATCCATATTTACGCTTGTAAATATCTGCAAAACTTGCCAATCTGAACCACACTTCCCAGCATCCACGAGGATAGAACGGGCGGGGACCTTGGTTTGAGTGGTGACTTTGCTGACCAATCGCCAGAGCTCAGCCCCAGTCTCGGCCCTATCAGCGCTCAGAACGAAGCGCTGGGCGAGAGTTTAGCGAAGCGAGCGGGTTGCTGGCTCAGTTGTGCGGTGGACTTAGTATCACATGGGAGTTGCTGGTGCTGAGCCGGGCAGGATCTGCGCTCCGGGCAATGGGTGGGTGAGCGAGCGCGCGCGCGCGCGCGCGCGTGCGGCTGTTTTGCCTCTTAAGCCGGGCGCGTTTGGAAACTGGGAATCGGGGCGCGCTGAGGACTAGGAACTTGTTCGGAGGCGCATTCTTGTGGCTGGCGCAGCTTTGTAGAGACGTAAGGAAGGGGGCCAAGTAGGAGAAAGAAGGGAAGCCGGGTAGGTCGAACTTGTTCCCCCCCCTCCGTTCTCTTCCCCCCACCAACTTTCTCTAAGCCCTGTTTGCACTTAGGCGCACAAACGCGATCGGAATGAAGCTTTCTGTTCCTTGTGATTTTAAAAGGGGGGGGGGAAGGGGGGAGGGAGACATTTTATGGGAAGACATAATACCCACCCTTCCAACGAGCATTCCCACAGTTCGTGGGTGTCTGACCGCGAGCAAGGTGGCTCCAAGCAAGTCTAAAAATCTAAGGGCTCGCCGGTCTTTACGCGCAGGAAGCGCTCCGCTTTGCAGCGTGTTTCTGCTTTCGGAGCCCGGCATGCTTCTCCGGGAGGGGCGAGGAAGCGGGGCTTATTTGCTGTTTACCGCAGAGGTGGCTTTCCGTCCCGTAGCGCTCTCGTTTCCCTGCGTGGTGGAAACGCAAGTCCTCTATGCAAATACCTTCCCGTCCTGCGTGGGTCCGCGAGCGCGCCGCGTGGCGAGGTCGCCAAAGTCCCCGCGGTTGCGCCTCGGAGCAGGTGGAGCGCGCGCTACGGGCGAGTCGGATTTGGGGGGACGGGCTCGCGTTCAGCCGAGCACCCCCCTTCCGCCTCTTTCCTCCCCCTCCAGCCCGCTCTGGGCGCGCGTCAACCGCATGCATGTGACCGGCGTTTGAGGCTTGTTTTTCAACGGCGCCAGAAGTAACTTTCTCTAAAGCAGCCCCGCGTCCGTCCGTCGCCCGGGCACAATTTTCCCCCCTTTTCAAGCCCTTTCTTGGCTATCAGGGCTTCCTGGTGGTTCAGATCTCGTTTCTCCTTCTCTTCTTCCTCCCTCCCGCCTTGTTTCCAATTTGGTAAATTTCATCCCGCTTCTCTGATTTTGCGATCCTCCTCCTTCCTTTTGTGGTTTTTAATCGCTTGCTGTTCTCAGCTAATTCGGTGTGTCAGCAGTTAGCAAAAGCTACCCTTCCCTCCCCGCCTCTCTTCTGTCTCTCTACCCCCCCCCGAGGCCCCCCCCCCGTTCTGAGAAGACTCGGAGGTAGCCTTTTCCCACACCCCTGCCCGTCTCCTGACCAGGATCTAAAGAGTTAATCATGGCATGTTGAATGAAATGTGTACACACAATTTGGGTACCATTGTACTCTGTCATTTCCTGTAAGAGACTTGATCTACATTCTTTGAAGATGCTAAACGGCTGCTGCTTCGCCTAAGCCAAGAAATATTTCTGTAGGTTGCTGACCTTTTTGCTCTCCCTCTCTGCCTTCCCCCTGCAAACCATTTTCCCCCAGTAGGGTGTTTCCTTGGAGAAGCTGAGTTGGGGTGCCCACTTTTGCTCTCCTCGGCTCTGCCCTGCCTGCCCGGGGAGCCCGCCGAAAGAATGCTGGGCGCTTCTGTGAGAAAGAAAAAGGGAGATTGCAATCGCTGTGAAATACAAGCACATACAGTCATTGTTGGCAAAGGCAGCCTTGACGGGAAGCCAGGGAATTCAGAAAAGCCAGCAGAGCCCTTCTGTTGCAGTTCAGAATGAAGTCGAGATGAAGCAGGGGCTTAATGAAATTTCCCCGGCTCACACGTCCACGAACTCTGCCTTTCTTGTCTAGGCCGTCCCTTTCCTGCTTTCTTGGGGTGATGCGTTCTCTGTGTGCCACGCTGGAATTTTCTGGCGACCCAGGGATAGTCAGGCTGTTTTTATTCTTTTAAGCTTCCATCCCACTTTTTTTCCTCTTGCAAGGACCTCGAGACAACTTACAGGCACCTCCTTCCCATTTTAGCCTCACAACAACCCTGAAAGGTAAGCCAAGCTCAGTCAAGGCTGAGAGTCAAGGCTGAAGGGGCACTAGAACCAGAAGCTCAGCACTCCAACCACTATACTACACTGCTCACCGCACTGCTCTGCCTTTGTGTGCTTTCCCCCCAAGTTTTGTGCCTGGGTATTTCATATTCAGCTTTGTGAATAACTGCATTCTACAGCCTACATAAATTATGCACCTGGAGAGTGCTTTTCGCATCTGCTTAACTGACCCTGCCCTTTTCATTCTGTTTTACCATACCCATATAATTTCTTATGCATAGGAGGAACAATGTTTCTGAAGCTCCTCCCCAGTTACTGGAAGTATTAGCCATTTCCCTGAGTTAGCAGAAGCCTCGTCTCTGTGCTTTTGTTGATATTGCTTCAATCTTAGGGACTAGAAACTTGCTTTCCTTGCTTGAAAAGGAAAAAAAAAGGAAGAAGCAAAAGCTGAGATTTCTTGGCAGCTGTCAAAACTGTGCCACTTCAGTTTTTGTGTTTCTGTAGAATCCCATTATTTACCTACCTCTGTACAGGAAATTCAGCACCCCCTGGCAATGTGGGGTTCCCAAGGTATGGACATACAGGGTGAACGTGGGTGAAAATTGTTCTTCCAGAGTCTCTGTGCTTCACTTCCTTGTGAGTGGTTTAGTATCCCTACTGAACCCTCATTCAACACTGGCAGGAGACCCACTCGAGTTGGTGGCACATGGGTGCCACTCTTCTCAGGAAGGGCCGGGGAGCCTGGAAGCAGGACCCCAGGAGCGCCGAGCTACTAGGCTTTATTTATGTCGTGTTGGATTTCTATGATTCACCTTCAAGTTTTGAAACTGATCTGTGGTACTTCTCTTTAATTGCGTGTGGTTCTTTTCCTCCTTCTTCTTTTTTGTTTTTTGTTTAACTTACTGGCACTGACAATTTTATTTCCCCATTTCGTCCCCTGATGTTTTGACATGCCCTTTGGGGCTTTCTTTGTGCTCAGAGAGGCTTTCTGTGGAAGGACAATGTACTTTTGTTTTTAAGATACCGCAGATTACAGTTCTCTGATCTTTCCTTAGATTGCTTGCTTCGTAAGAACTGCCTTTGTGGATCAGAGCAAAGAATACAGTTTCTGTCAGCAGCCAGCCAAGAGCCACGGGGAATCAGCTAGTCAACAGATTCCCTGCCTAGTTTGTCCGGCATCTTCTGTTTGGGAGACAGACTAACTCTGAACACGGCGGTTCAGTTTATCTCTGTGGTCTTTTGGTCTCCAGGAATTTGTCCAGCCTCCTCCAGAAAGCAAAGCGTCAGGGTCCGGGCAGATTTCCTCATCCTGTGGCAATGAGTTCCATAAGTTAACGAGGGCGCTGAGGTCATCTTAATTATTTAATTATTTCCCGTGTCTCCTGGGACGGTTGCTACTCAGTCATTACAGGAGAGGGGGAAGCAAAGGTTCCCTCTCCCCGGCCCATTGTTTTATTCCCATGATCTGAGACTCAGTTTCCTCGTCTGTAAAATGGGCTTGATAGAGGTGCTGTTCTGTGCCAACTTGTGTGTGTGTGTGGGGGAGAACTAATGCCTTCAAAAGCTTTAAAACTTTTCAGATGGAGGAGCAAAGAATTGGGTTGGGGTCAGCACTAATGCACTTTATTGGGGTTGCTGAAGGAGGACCAGGCGCCCCCCTGCCCCCTAGTCTGTGTGTCAATTCTACCATTGTGCACAGAGAACAGTTGTTTTCACTGCAGCCAGCAAATGGCCACCGAAAGTCCCACAAGCAGCTGCATTGCAAAAGGGGGGGAAGGTGTGATTCTTCAAAAAACCCTTTATAGGAACAGGTGCTATAACCGCCCCCCCCCCCCGGTTAATTCACAAGGGTCAATAAATCCATAAAGCATGCAATACAAAGGGTTAGATTCCTGAAGCCACATTTTGCAACGTTTTCTGTATGCTGGTTTTGCAAGAACTAGGACTATGCAGCCATGAAAAGCAGCCCAGCATAGTCACGGATGGTATATTTGAACCTTCCCCAACCTGGTGCCCTCCAGGTGCATTGGAGTCAGACCTCTCTTAGCTCCATCCTGACTGTGGCCGATGGGATTTGTACTCCAGAACATCTGGAGAACAGCAGTTGAGGGAAGCTGCTGCATTTCACGGCAGTGCAAGATTCGCTATTATGTTTTTCCAAGTTTTTGGTGTGTCATCAGACTGCCATTAAAGGAGAGCCAAGTTTTTTCCTCCGTTTCTCTGACCTCTTCAAACAGGCTGGTGCTGATGCCAAGCTGAGCAAGAAAGCACTCTGTACATGCCCAGAGGTTTATTGTATCTTTGAGCTATCCCAACTGTTCTTTTCAGGAAGGGGTTTGCTGAAAGCAAGGGTGATTTCGAAAATATTAATTGTAGAAGAAGTTGTTTCAGCAAAGATGATAACATACAGGAGGGAGAAGAGGGGGTCAAGGAGGTGGGGCCCTAGAAGGACAAGGGCCCCCTTCTTACAGAAATGGCACAGTGTCACGGGGGCCCAGTCTCCACTCTGGTGGCTAGAGCACATCTCCCAAAGCCCCTGAGTTTGTCAGGAGTGTTTTCCTTTCCTCTCAGTCGCACTGGCGCAAGTGGATGGTTTGCGTGCTGAGAATACATCAAAGTTCTGGGTTGGGGAAGGGGCACAGCGAATGCCGCCCACTTCATCCGAAAGACCGTTCCAGCCCCAGCCAGACAGAACCCAGGGTTTCTTCCGCAGTCCACGAAGGAAGGGTGAAGGAGCCCCCCGGGCCCGTCCAGGATGCATCTTCTCTCTATCTCATTTCCCCAGTTCTGTTTCCAATTTAAGCTGTTTGGTTTTCAGGGGTTTCTGTCCTCCCACTCCTTGTAGATCTGTCCCCATCTCCCCACCACCACCCGCAATGTGCCCCCTGGCATTAAGTGGAGAGGGTGCCTGGTGCCCCCTTCCTTCCCACCTCCCGGCTTTCTGATGTCAACCCTATGAAAGGCCAAGCAGATTTTTTCTCCCCCCCCCCACCTCCTCCTCTTGTTTCCTGAACTTGTCATCATGTCCAGTAATCCTCTCAGAAGCTGGACTCATTTTGGCTGCCGTGTGCCATGATCTCATACTCTGAGAACACTAAACTGGGAAGGCTTTCCCCCCTTCCTTCTCTCTTAACCAGTCCCCCCCCCCCCCCCCCCCCCCCCCTTTTTTCAGTATGCAAGTGCTTTGCATGAGCTCAGTGATTGCAGTGGGGGAGAGGGACATGCAAACTGCTTTAGCAAACACACACACACACACACACACACACACACACACACACGAGCTCCAGAAGGCTACAGACAATTCGGTCCTCCGGCTTTTTTTCCCAGAGAGAGAGAAACTGATTCTTCCTCTGCTTATGGACCAATGATCTACTTTTCTACCCATCCTCCTGGAGTTTTTTTCTTCTTCGATTTATATCCTGCCTTTTTCCTACAAAGGGCTCAAGGCAGCTTACATCATTCTCCTCCTCCATTTTATCCCCACAACAACAACCCTGTGAGGTAGGTTGGGCTGAGAGTCTGCGACTGGCCCAAAGTCACCCATTGGGCTCCATGACTGAGCGGGGACTTGAACCCCGATCATTTGAGTCCCAGTCCCATGCTCTTCACCACTACCCCACACTGGCTCTCGAGGGAATGGGAACTCCCAACTCATGGGAGTTCCCATTCCCATTCTTGCTTGCCAGGTAGATTGCCAAGGGCTGGAACCCGGACTTGGATGCTGAGAATCTTGTTGCAATGTCTTTCTCTTTGGCGAAATTGTGAGCGCACAGACCCTGGCATTGCAAGCGGGGACATACTGGGAATCATGGCCTTGTTTTCTGTTGCAGCAGGTATAGGATTGCACCTTTCCTTGTTCTGTAACAAGTCGATATGCTATGCAAGGCTAGTTGCGAAGTCGCGTCTGACCCATCGCAACCCCATGGACAACACTCCTCCAGGCCTTCCTGTCCTCCACCATCTCCCAGAGTCCCCCTAAGCTCACACCAACTGCTTCAGTGACTCCATCCAGCCACCTCACTCTCCGCCGTCCCCTTCTCCTCTTGCCATCTATTGTTCCCAGCATTAGGCTCTTCTCCAGGGAGTCCTTCCTTCTCATCAGGTGGACAAAGTATTTGAGTTTCATCTTCAGCATCTGGCCTTCTGAAGAGCAGTCAGGGTTGATCTCCTCTAGGACTGACCGGTTTGATCGCCTTGTGGTCCGAGGGACTCACAGGAGTCTCCTCCAGCACCACCATTCAAAGGCCTCAGTTCTTAACAAGTCTATACAGTGTAATAAAAGAATTAATCCCATAAACGCAGGAGGGTCACTGACCTTGGGGCCTTCCAAGCAGATGAACCATTCCGGGACTTTTGTCTGAGTGCCCTGTCTTCTGACCAGTTGCATCTGCTGGCCACCATCTGGGCTTCCTCACATGTAATGCCCAACCTGATCTGAGGTCGTAACTCATTGTGGAGCTGAGCAATGCTCAGTTCGACTCCTTCGGGGCACTGCTGTTTGCTCGGGCTTCTGCCAAGGGCCCCAGATGGCCAAGGGGCAGGTGGGTGCTCTTGAGACCTTGAGCATCCGGTCGTGATGATGAACCTGATAAACATAATGTTTACTTTTACCTCTGCATAAGGCGCCTTCCACGGTTGTCACAGCTCTTGCTTCTGCTGCCATCGCATGTAAAAAGCACAGCCATTTTTTCTGGGGGGGTCCATGTAATTCCTGAGGGGAGCCCAGTTTGGCTTTCTTGGAGACAATGCCAAGGGAGTTAAGAGAAGGTGGGCGAAGGGTGTAAACGGTGCCTCGTAATATCTCTCTGGTGATAAGAAGTTGGAGAGAAGAAGCATTTTAAAGTTCCATAGAACCTCAGTAACGCTCACAACAACCCTGGAAGGTGGGGCACTGTTGCTTGCCTTGTCCTGCAGTTGAGAATCGGAGGATAACGCAGCGGTTCATTTCGCGGTGAAGTGAAATTACAACCCGGAGCTCCCTTCTGCACAAATCAGTGTTTGGATTTCCCCCGGAGGCATCACACGCACCAAATGCTCTGTGGTCGTCCTTGACACAGGCTGAGGCTTGACTTCGGAATCGCTCGTTTGGCGGCGCTGGCTGGCTCGCTCGCTCGCTCGGAATGGCACTTCTGGCCATTGGCCAGGGACGATTTTCGAGCTGAAGGTGCTCCCTGCAGTTTGGTTTTTGACAGTTGACACCTGGGTCTTTCATCTTTACCACTTGCTGAAAGTGAAATGAGTTGTCCAGAAGTTCAAAGCGCTGCTAATATTGAGGCTGAAGCGTACGCTGAGCTTCATTTTTGACCTTTCTCCTTAAAAAGCAGGAATGGGGAAATTGGGCCCTTGTGCACATTTCGGATATTTGAGAATTCTTGTTTCAGTTGCAAGTCATTCCCTTAATATCAGTATATAGGAAACAGCCCAGATTAGTCTAGGATGGTGAGAATGCTTAGCTACAAACGCCCATGAACTAATGGGGATTTCCCTGCTGGAGGTGATGTGCATGGGGCTGTATCCCCCGTGTAGGTCCCCAGATGTATTGAATGGCAGCTCCGTAGTCTCTGACCGTGGCCACGGAGAGGTGGGGCAGTTCATTTATTCCTGCCCGTTGGAGGATTTGCTGTGTGCTTCCAGCCAGAAGCTCTGGCGAGGTAGAACCTGTAGCATCGGGCTGGGAATGACGTTCCCTTCCACTCCGGTCCGGGATCGGTCTGCGGATAATCCTTGATCTCTGCCAAAGCTTCAAGGGCCAGGCTTCCTTGTGGGGCCAAGCAGCCAGGAAGCCACTCTTTCTAGGGTTCCCCAGTGAGCCCCTTGCTTGGGAAGAGGGCAGGGCTTGCCGCATAACTTGTCCTGGCCCACGGAAGTCTGCCCAGCATGGCGGCCAACGCTATCCCATTGGCAGGGTAGAAGTTGGCTGCAGCTTCTGGTCCACGGACGGGGAAGGGCACCCTCTTCCCCATGGCCTGAGGCTTGCCACCAGACCCAGCTCCCAAACCTGCCGGGCCCTGTCTTTTCTTCGCCTTGCCTCGCCTCGCCCTCAGCCACTCGGGGAGCCCGGCCGGCCGGGAGGATGTGCAGCCCTGACTCAGCCCCGTGCAGATTTATGCCGTTGTGGTCTGGGGAGCTTGCGTGCGTCCAAGCCCAGATGGGAGGAGGTGCGTCGTGTGCAGGCCTCGGAGGGCCTGACGGTGGCCGTTGGCCGAGCATGTCTAGGAGGGAAGGATGTGGTTCCTGGGGGCGAGCGTCACCCCGTTCAGGAAACCACCTTGAAAGTGAAAGCGGAAGCGGGGCGGCCTTGCCAGTCTCGGTGGAGACGCACCTCCACGCAGGAAGCGCGTGAGCTGCACACGACCGCACAGGCCGGTGCTTCTAAGAAAGCCGCCTGGGGCAGCAAGGGCCCTGTTCCAGCCGGGACCCTTCCTGGGCCCCAGACGGCCTCCTCCCGCAGGCCTGGCTGGGGATTCCGGCCCCTGTGTCATGTCCCAGCCCGACCTGGTGGCCCGGAGGGGTCCAAGCTGCAGAGCGCAGGGCTTCCGTGGGGACGGAGGAGCCAGGGATGGGCAGGGTGGTCCACGGGGTCCGGCCAGCCTCACCGAGGGGGCCAGCGTGGCCAGCTGGGCGACTGAGAAGTAACCAGCAGCTGACAGCAGGCGTGGCCTGGGGCAAGCAGGCAGGCTGGGCGGTGCTGAGGGCTCCTGCTGGCCTCTGCCAGGCGGGGGAGGGGAGGCGAGGCAGCGGCTTCTCTGCCGTGGTTCCTTTCGCCCCGTATTGTCTGCGCAGACGGGCAGCAGGGCTGCCCAGATCTCGGGCTGAGAAGGTTCCTTCGCCTCCCACTGCATCGCCCCAAACTCGAGTTTGTGCCTCCAGCTCAGATGGGGCCACTTTGCTGGCCGCGCTGTTGCCCCGCCCCAAGAGAGAGAGCTGTCGGTCGGGGCGACTCCTGGATTCCCCGGGCTGCCTCTGGCTCGGAGAGGACTTCTGTTCTTCCACCTCTCTCCTCTGTGCTTGGATCCTGCAGGACTTTGGGTTGGGGTCCCTCCAGACCCGAGGGGCTGAGTCCACGGTGCCGCTGCCCGGCTCTCACCATTTTCCCCTTTTCTCCCCCACGCAGCACCCAGCCTTAAGGGCCAGCGGAAAAAGAAGAGCAGCGCCATGGCTGAGAATGAATCGGAGAATTCCCCGGAGCCAGGCCCTGCGGAGGGGGCCGCAGGAGGAAGTCCGGGCGCAGAGGGGCAGCCGAGTGCTCCAGAGAAGGTGGAACAAGCGGTGAGCAGGAATAATGGCATCGTGGCTGCGAGAGCGTTTTTGAATGCGTATTTATGGAATATACACCTTCTCCTCGTTGCAGTTGAGCCCTGGGAGTCACCTGTAACCAAGGTTTGCAGAAGGGGGTTTGCGACCAGCCTCACACTGCAGCTTCAGAGCCTGGATTTTTTCAGTCCCAAGCAAATCAGCATTTGGGCACACCCGGATTTGGGCATGTGAGCAAGCCGTGGGTTCGCATTATCCTGGAACCCAAGCTGAGTTCTTTCTCCTTTTCATGGGATGTGGTCTGTGTCCAGAAGTCTTTTTATTTTACGGGCAACACAGATGGAGTTGGATGAAACCTGGCATTTCAAAACTTCCAAATTTACTTGCACATTTCTTCACATGTTTACTTTGTTTTGGGTTTTCATGTTTGCCTATCTTTTTTCTTGGCTTGTGGAAAAATAGCAAAATCGCCCTCCTGTTGGCTCATGGGAAAAGCTTGACGTGAACGTTGTGGAACGAAAGGTCCCAGAATCTTGCAGCAAGGCTGGCATTAAGACCCAGCTTTGAGGAGCTCTGACTCCAAGCTTTCCCTCAGGACAATCCTTCCAAACACTCTTGGAATCTGGATTCCTGGAGTGCCAATTCTTGATCTGCACATGATGTATTTTCTATTCTTGCTCGGACAAACACAGTCGGCAGCTCTCCCCCCCCCCGCCCCCCACGCTTTGCGTTCTGCCTCTTCCAGGACAGCCGGGAGCAAATGGGGGTGAGAAAGGAGAGGGAAGTCAGGGAGGGCTGCGCCCTTGAGGGGATCTGTCCCGAGTTCGGCTGTGACCCATCTGTTGATGATCACCGGTGCAGAACCCTATTCCT